AATATATTTTAATAATATATATAATGTTTAGCTTCTTTCTTGGAGATAAAAAGTACTTCGGTTTTGTATTTCGCTTTCATGGGGTTTTTTTAATGGATTCCAGTTCTTTTTAATATCTACAACCTTTACTAAGCTTGAGATTTATAAAGACTCATTCTACTTTTTAAGAGGGTCATTTTGAGGGTAGAGAGCGAGATGAAGAGAGAGAGAGAGAGAGAGAGAGAGAGAGAGAGAGAGAGAGAGAGAGAGAGAGAGAGAGAGAGAGAGAGAGGAATACTATGGAGTGGGAGAGAATGAAGGGAAAGGGATTAATGTAGGTTCCCCAATGTTTAGGAAGTGTTAGCCACAACCTCTAGTCCTACAGTAGTAGATATGGAGATAAGAATGTGTGTTTTACTAACAAAAAATTGCAAACTCTTTTATTTCGCTTCCCAAGAACTACCTAGAATATTCGAATCTGAAAAGTCTAGAAACGCGCCCAAATGGATCCTCTTCTGGCCAAAACAACACATAAGCATATAGAGCTGCTGTTTCTATTAATTAGGTATTAATGGATCAGGACCCTGTCTTTTATGATGCTCTCTGTCGAAAGCTCTAAAGCGCATCCCTGTGATACCCATTTCGTCGTTTTCCATCATCGGTTCCCCAACATTCTCCGGCATAAAAAGTTGCATGACACAGGGCAGACGTTTGGGTCCTTTGTTCCCCCGAGGTGTCAATATTGCAGCTCTTAATGACCACTTTTTGTTTGAGGTTTTGTATAATTAATGTTGTGTTGGCATCAACGTTTCAAAACGTCGTTCGTCGTTTTCTTCCACCTGCCACTTGCTTTGAATCGTCAAGATGCTCTTCCTTCTTCCTGATATAAGAAATACATGTATTTGATACTGATGTTGGCACAAAAAAGTATCAGTTGATACAGCTGTTGTTGCTACTGTTGCTTAGGAAAATGATGGTGGTTTTGAGTAGGTTTTCTTTTTTTTTTTTATTGCGTGGAGGGGGGAGGGGTGAGGAGGACGATAGGGAGGGCGGAGGGAGGAGAAAATAATTTATAGTGTCAGTTTTCAAGAATAAGTTTGCGTGCCTTTCTCGAACGAATGATGGTGGAAATGAAGGTGATAATGATGACAAGGTGGTTTTGGACTTGGAGAATGAGGAGTAGGAGAAGCAGCAGGAGGAGGAGGAGGATGGGATGGAGGACGATGAAAAATATAAGAAGCAGGGGTGACAGGATGAAGTAACAGAAGAGCAAAAGGAGGAAAAAGAAACCGAGGAGGGTTGCTATTATAGTAGGCCCTATGCGCGCGCGCGCGTGTGTGTATGTGTGTGTGTGTGTGTGTGTGTGTGTGTGTGTGTGCGCGCGTGCGTGCGTGTGTGTGTGTGTGTGTGTGTGTGTGTTTTACCGATATATCTCTGTTGCTGCTAATTTATAGGGTACCAGAGAGTCTGTATACTAGATAATTCTAAGCTCCCTGCTGGTACGTTTGTTGTTGGTGTAACTGTCGACTTTTGACGGTTGTAAAGCATTTCTTAACTACAATGGCTTAATCTTCCGTTCTTTGTAGAATGATCCTTTTTCTTCTATGCCTTTTGAGAATTCGAGAGTCAGTTTCCATTTTATAAAACCTGCAAACACGCCTTTGCAATTTCTTATTTCTGGATGTCACGCGTTTCGATATCAAGTTGTCAGAGAGGACAATGAACACTACTAGAAACAGTCGTAAAATGGCCTTCGGTTATCGGAACCGCTGGAGACGTTGCAGTGTGTAATTCTAAGATCGAACGTGACAGAAATTATATCTTGTTCTCCAGAAATATATTGTTCGTGTTCGGAAATCTGCGCAGAAACGCTTGTCCTCTATTGGTGCGGAAAAAGAAGACTTCAAAGTGTTAGCGTTGCGACCATATGGTGTTTACGTTATGTTTAATAAACTATCTTATTATTTTGCTTCATATTAGTTCCCACACCTTTCTAAACCTTGAAAGATTTTCTTTAAATAATAACGATATAACCTTTTGCCACAATAGAGATAGCTTAGGACATTGTAAATGACACGTCAATAAAACAACTTTAAATATCATTGAACCTTTCACCTTATGAAACTTTTCACCTGACCAGAGACAGAAGTGGAGTTGGGGCGTGTGGCCTCTTTCATTCTAGGTGATAAGTGGCCGGCAATAAGGTGCTGAAGAGCGCCTTGGGCTAAAGAGAACACTTACTTTCCACAGATTATTCTTCTTTTCGATGAAGTGGTAATTATGGTGAACTTTGGAAAATCATTGGGGAAAAAGTTTTTACGAATTTGTGATTTTTTAAATTAAGAAAACGCTTAATTTTTTTCTACTCCGTATTGTTTCCAAAAGAGGACAGCGTCTTCCACGCAGACGTTAAACTTATACAGATATTATTTTTAGCCAGTCTATGTATTTTACAGCCCAATCGAAACAATCTAGATAATTTAGGAGACGGTCTTCAACCTTGGGTGTCAGGGTCAACCCGAGCCAAGAAGTATGCAACGTCTCGGCTGAAAGAAAAAATCCCTCCCTACTAGTAGGGCTATTATTATTATTATTATTATTATTATTA